AGGAATAAACAGGATTTAAAGTATCAGCTGAACTGTGTTCGTGTTCCTATTTACAATTTTAATTTCGCTAATGCATACCTACGGCATGTTTTCTTAAGTAGTAAATAGCACCGAGAATAGAACAATGAGAAGTGAAATAATCTTTATATCTACTTAAGTGTAATACGCGTGATTTTTTTTTATATACGGACACGTTCGTTCGTGAACCGGTAATAAGAATTGTTGTACGTGCTATCGCTTGGAAACGTGAATACATAATAACAATTTACCTAATTTTAAGGCAAAAGTTCTTTTGTGTTTCTCACAGTTCACGCGTTATTTAGCCGATTTTTTTTTCTCTGTACTTGATCCCCGAGTTCCCTTTTAATAACGTCCGTGCCTACTAATAATAATTAATTGTATTCTGCAATAGCGTACTTAACAAAGTAATATTTAAGCTATTTTGTACTCCGAAATTGGTACGCAACTTACTTTGTTTGATATGAAGTTTTGCTTCAGAGAAACTGCAACTGCAGAGAAAGGCAACATTCTATCATCTACGATGTTACAATATTTTTGTACCAAAAAGAAAAGCAATATCGTTATACTTATTTTTCTTTGTTTAATCAACCTTCTTGTTTTTCTTTGTTTTTTTTTTGTTTTTTTTTTTTTACAGAAACTCAATTCTTTTTCTCAACTCAAATTTACCGTTTTTCGTTTCAGGTATCCAATGACATATCATCGATATCCTTTTGAAAGACTGAAATTTTTTTTGTTTACTATTTAGTATTTTTGAAATATTTACAAGAATCAGTACGATAGACTGAACGCAGCGGAAACTTGTAACGTCCAGACTTGGCTTGCAATATCGCTATTAATTGAACTAACGCTTTATGATATTACCGATTGTTGCTAATTTCTTATTTACAGTTGCAAGCCAGTTTGCATTTATTACAAAAATAATGTGCAATATGCTATAGGTAATAAAGAGACGTTAAGTAATTAATATCCTTATCAACAATATCGTCGTAAAAAGGCTTTTATTTCAATCGAGCACTTTCTGCTAATCACTTTCCCTGAACATAAAATTTTTACAAACTTATTCATATTTTAGCGAACAAAATTATTGTGGCGGATAATGTTAAATATTTATCTTTTATAAGAATTAGATTTAGGAATCTTCGTGACTGATTTGTATTTTTGTACTCTCTAATTCATATTTATCTGTAATAATAAGCTGCATATAATTGTAACCAGTTGTAATTACAAAGAAAAAAAGAACCGTTCGATTTATTACTTTGCAGTTACAGAAAGAAAGACACACACACGAATAACTTTAAACATAATATTTTTACGATTCGCAAATTCGATCCTCAATAGATGAACGTAACGAATGTTATACGTTATAGCCCAAATAAATCAGTAATTTTCGATGTCTGTTTGACACATCTTTAGTTTCCTTTCGTACTCTAGGGTACATATATACTGTACTTTAGTGCGCGACTAATTTTGTTTTAAACCAGTTCGTTATTGCTTATTTACATCTATATATGTACAAGGATAGAGTAAATTTAGTAGAGAAAATTTTTAAGTGTGTATAAAGAAGATACAGCTTGCACTTTTTCTTTAACAAGATATACATGATTTTTTCGGTATGTCGAAAATGTATGCGCGCTATTATAATCATAATTGTTATAAGTATTATGCAACACATAACATAAATTGATGAGCATATTTGCCATTAATTTTATGTAACATGCAATACAGTTTTCATAACTATGTCACCCTACTTTTTCACTAGAAAATATTAATATAAAAACAAACGGTTTTGATGTAAATCTTTATACATAATTGTATATGAAGTGTAAATTCGAGTAATCCAAACTGATCTAAACCGGCAGAAAACAAATCAAATAAATTTTCTCATGTATGTTTTTAGTTATTATTTTTTCAAACTATTACAAATCTGAAAATATTGCAAATAGTGTATACGACTTGCTGTATTACCGATCGTAATACAAGTAAGTTCGAAGCAATCGATTTATCGATCAAATCTTTCATATTAATTGCACTATACTTTTCATAAAAATATGGTAAATAAGTTATGGCAATAATGTTCAACAATTATAATATTCATACAATAAATAACCGGTAACAATGATTGAAGTTACAATGCTCTGAGTATTTGTTAAATATTAAAAATCATAAGAATCGATTCTTTGCACAAACTTTAAAGGTATACCTATAAGAAGTAACTGATCTGGTGATTTGCGGCATAAGTGTGGAAAATAATGAATTAATGCTTGCCAACATACCTCTGATAATTTAGGTATTTTTAACCAAACAGAATGAACCGCATCTGTCCTTACAACCTGTAATAGAATGTTCTTGATTAGTTATAGAGGAACTATATATTTAAAAAAAAAAGTAAAACATTAAGAAAGTTATAATAACCCTATTATGTATTTTCACTATACCGCCAAATGTATACATGCGTCCTTCTGGAGTAAGGGCAGCCGAATGAAAATATACAGGGCATGGTAATTTACACTGTCTCAAACATGTCCATTGTAGATGTTTCAGATCTAATTTCCAAACATCAGAGAAAATATGATCTTCATTATATCCTCCAGAGATTACTACAGACGTAACACCTGTGTTTTCATCTGTATATTGCACAGAACCATGACAACGTCTAGGTTTTGGTACTGTGTTATCTTCATTATCACCATATGTATTTAATATTATCCACTTGTTCATTTCTAAGTCAAAGGCAGGAATTTCCTAAACATAAATTTAAGATAATAATTAACATATTCTAATAGTACGAATAAAAGAATGATTTATCCAATTATATTATTTTACATACCAGGAAACCAAACGATTCAGAAGCTGTTCCTCCTCCCAAAACATAAATAAGTTTTCCATCAAATGCTAATTCGTGCCTGTATCGTCCTGCTGGCTCATTTTGATCTCTTCCAGAGCATATGTAAACTTTTTCCCAAACACCAGTCCTAAAGTCGAATCTATGGATGTCACAGGTATACTCGTAACCTGTAGTACCACCGACGGTATACAAATACCATCCACGCAATATTATAGCCTGTCCATAATGAGGATCCGGCAAATATCCCTTTGCTGGAACTATGTGCATTGTACCATTCTCAAGATTGCACAAATAAAGGCGGTTACTACATCTATCTCCGAATGGTACACCGGTCCCACCATATACCATTAAGGTATTACCACTTAAAATCACTGCATTAGATGCTAGTTCATTAGGCATATTATGTTGTCTTGGAAAACGCCACCATTGTTGACTAACAAGATTGAACTTCCATACTTCTTTGAAAAGCGGTTTACTAGAAATCCATGTTTGATCGTTTTGCATGTCAGGATCATCATCGGAAATACACGGATTGAACCCACCATAAGAATATAAATATTTATGATCGCAAACTATTCTATGCCCACTCCTGGGCTTTGGACGTTCGACGCTGTTCGATTTGTGTTTTATAAACACAAACGGCTTGAATTTATACATGTTTATCAATTAATTGACAACACACCGTGGGTTCCGAATGTTTAAGTTCCGATAGTTCGTGTATTGTTCGTCGGCAAAACTTTACCATAAAATTCAAAATAAAAGCGGTTGTTTAGGGAACAACTATTTACCTATATGTTCCTCTCGCTGGTATATCGTTTTTCCACAATGTTCCCGATTTATTTATCGTGTTGAGGTTGACACGTGTAAAATAAATATCGTACTGCTTTGATTAATCATGGAGACATGTGTTTCGGTGCGAATGTACGAAGAATTGTTAACACAGACATCTTGCATGCACTTTACAATACATTCACATCTAGTTCGCTTCTTGCACATCAGCGAACATGGCGTAATACAATGAAATGCATTGTCGTCATTACCCAAGAGATTTCTTTATAAAACGATCGGAAATTATTTCATCTCGACCGAATTTTATTGTTTCACTTTAAAGGGACCACTGTTTTCAAAGGCGCACGTACAGCTGTAAACTCGCTCTACATTTACAACTACAAACTTGTCGTTTTACGCCTATGCAGTACTACAGCTGCGACTGCGTGGCAGTGATCATCTGATATCGCTGACAGATTACATTCAATTGTGTTTAGAGATATCTTATTATAGTTATTATTCGAAAATGTATCAATCGAATATAAAGGATCAAGTATCGTTGAAATTTTAGGTGTTTTGGTTAGGCGAAATATACATTTTCTACATCGATCGTGAGAATTATGTATCGAAATGTTAGATAAATAGACATTTTAATTCTTCATGTACGCTATGTGATTTGGATGAATATAGGGGAATGCGAGGGAATGCGAGGGAATGTCGTAAACACCCTGTGCCCATTCTCCTTCGTACTATACATCAGTTATACTTCTATACATATATGTACTGACATACAGATGGTACCTATCAGACTGCTCACATTTATTCGATTGTTCATAGACTTTCTACAAACAATTTAGGCACCTTATGTAAATAATAAGTATAGAAAATAATAAAATGGGTAGCGCATGTGTGATTATGCCAAATTTATCGTAGTAGATGGAAGCATAATAGTTTAATTTACATATAAGTACAAACTTGCGATTCATGGACACGAAAATGGTATCGCCATCTCGCGGTCAGAAGGCCGAACTAATTTTCGAAATATATGTCATATATATAACACTTATTACCCCTTAATATCTCATTTTCCTTATAATTAACTTGATAAAAAATTAAACAATGAGTGTAGAAAATAACAAAATGGTTAGCCCACGTGTAATTACGATATAAATAATTTTTAAAAATATTTAATATTCGTTTTAGTAACCAGTACGAGTGGCGTCATCGGTGGCAAAACGCCCAAGATCGTCGAGAAATAGTTCCCTTTTCTCACAGCTAGATGGCGCTACCAATGTCTAAATACCGACATTACAATATATTTAAATAAATTGTTATATTAAATTAAATAATAATAATAAATAATAAATAATTAATTGTATTTAAAATAATAAATACATACAATGCATATATTATTTTCAGGAAGATAATAAACAATCGAATTACAAGTTTTCAAACTACATTTATTCTTTTAAAATACATTCATTTGCTTACAATAGTTTATAATTTTTAGCTACTTTCTAAGGAATCTTTTGTACAGAATTTTTATATGAATAAAATTATAATTGAATACGTTGTTGCGATTCTACTCAACTTCAAGGTGGTTCCTCCCAGTCGTTGGTTTTTTTATATTTTTAGAATGCGGTTATCGAATAGCTGAATTTAATTTATTTGAAAGTACACGTTTTGTGTAATAGAATAAACTTATTTAAGATGACAGAAAATTTTTGTCGTATGATAATTCAAGAAAGAGTTGAACATCGAATTTTTTATAATTCTTAGTATAAGCATAAGTAAATATCACGTGCTTGAAAGAATTGTATACAACAAAGACGTTTCGTGTATCTAATTACGTTCCAAACAATTGCGATCGATATGTCGGCAAAGATGATATTTATATCGTTTTTATTATTGCTTGTTTGTCAAGAGGGACAAAATGTTGATATAGATCTGTCAAAAACAATAATTTGGGGTCCAGGATTGAAGCCAGATAAAATAACAATGAGAGCCAGATATATTTTCTTACAACTTATCGATTTACAAGGGAAAAAGTATGTTTTTAAATAATGTATCAATATTAAGTAACCAGAATTATTTTGTTTATTTTATTTTTATTGAACAGTTGCTTCAAATATTTTTAAGTTTAACAGAATCACCTGGGAAAGATATAATTACTGCTCATGTACAAGGCCAAACTTCAACAGGACAAATGTGCCATGTATGGACGCAAATTTTGGATTGCAAGGATGGGAGTTTTATTGTTAGATACAAATTACATAATACTTGTTTCAATTTAAAGTTGGAAATTAAGATAAAGCAACATAATTCTCCTGTTTTATTGCTAGAATCAAAAGGTACTAAATCTAATGAACTTGTTAGAAACACTTAATATTTACTTCTTATTTAATAACATGAAATTTAATGTAAATACTTAGGCCCTGTTTATGAAGAAGAATGTTATTGTCCAAATCCATCTATCGATAATTGGCTGGAAAATCTAGAATGCCCCAAAAATTATACACAAATGCATAATGATCTTGGTACTTTTATAAATGTAGATTTTAATCAAATACGTGAAGACATCATAAAAGCATATGATCGACCAGGGAGTGTCAGTTTGTGTCATTATGTAGTCAAATTTAATAAAGTAAGTATACTGTACACCTTGGTATTTTGTACTTCTTGAAACTATGTCTGAATTAAACCAGATGAAACAAGATTTTTAGAGAATGTTATGGCCGTTATGTGGGCTTCAAAATATTTATGGACTCCATTTTGTTGTCTGTTACTCGAAAAGTCCTTTTGCCAGACATCGAATTCTTTGTGAACTTGGGTGACTGGCCACTTGTTCCAAAAGGTGGCAAGAACTATCCTATTTTTTCTTGGTGCGGCTCTTTTGACACAAAGGATATTGTTATGCCTACTTATGACATTACTGAATCATCTTTAGAAGCAATGGGAAGGTATAAATTTGATTACATTTGATGCAATTAGATACCATTATGCTAAGGATTTATGTGTTGAATGATGTTATACACTAAACAGGGTAATGTTAGATATGCTATCTGTACAAGGTAATACAGACACACCATGGGAGAAAAAGACAGAAAAATTATTTTGGCGTGGCCGTGATTCCCGTAGAGAAAGACTCGATCTAATCGATATTTCACGAGATCACCCTGATCTATTTAATGTCTCCATTACTAATTTTTTCTTCTTCAAAGATGAAATGGATAAGTATGGACCTGGACAAAGCCATATATCTTTATTTCATTTCTTTAAGGTAAAATTTAATATATACCAATCACCAAAATTTTAATAGATTAAACTAAAAATACATTATTACTTATGCAGTACAAGTATCAATTAAATATCGATGGTTCAGTAGCCGCATATCGATTTCCATATTTGCTTGCTGGAGATTCTTTAGTACTGAAACAGAATTCGAAATACTACGAATTCTTTTACAACGATCTTAAACCTGGAGAACACTACATTCCTGTAAATAGCGATCTATCAGACCTCGTCGAAAAAATCATATGGGCCAAAGAACACGACGAGGAAGCACTAAAAATTGCCAAGTCTGCTAGACAATTTACAAGGGACAACTTATTACCGCGCGATGTGTTATGTTATCATGTAGTTTTGTTTAATGTAAGTAGTTCGAGTACAAATTAGACAGATTCAACTTCATTTATTCTTTTTAAATATATATCATAGAATAACATGTTTTTTTACATTTTAGGAATGGAGTAAACGCTTAAAGAGTAAAGTTAAGGTACTGGATAACATGGAAGAAGTGCAGCAACCTAAACATTCTTGTAAATGTTACAATGATAATGCAAAGTTCAAAGAAGAGCTCTAGTTTTTTCAGTTTTCAAAAGAACCTAATAATATAATGTATTTTTTATAATAAACCTTATCCATAAAAATAATCTGTGTCAATTTCTACTTTGTATACTTAACATTGTTCATTGAATAGTAAATAATACAAATCTTTAAGTAATAATTTTATATGGAAGGAGTAGCAGAAAGACTATGCATATCGAAAAGCAATCAGTCTTTCTCAAATTAACGAGAAAAAAAGTTATACATAATTATTATAAGTTATTGTAAAGCAATTTTTAAATGAGTTATGAATTAAAGAATCTATTTACATGTACGCAAATTGAAAGAAATTTTGGAGGAAGAGATAAGAATCAATATGTGAATTCATGAATATTTTAATGAGAAGCAAGAAAATATAAAATTAGATAAGTAAATATAAAATTAATTCTAAGGCAAACGTGTATACTGGAAGCTGTAAATAGATAGTACATCATGTACGTTGTTTTATACATTTTATCTTGGCGTAATAGATATGTTTTGTGCTGTATTATGTACAACCAATATCCAAGCAATTAATGTACGTTGTTAAGTGCTGTAAAAGCCAGTATCTGTCAAAATTAAATAATAAAGACTCTCACTTTCCCTAACATACATATAACATAATATTACATGAAAATGACTGTATATATGAATATGGAATACAAATATAATGGATATACGAAACTAAAATTCTGATATTGTAATCAAGTGGTTTTAAAATATTATTACAATCGCCGAAATTATTTCAGAACAGCGATGAGCAACGTCTTCTTGCAGAAAACCAAAATTGTGCCGTTTCACTTTATGTAAAAGTACTCTATTCGAAAAGAATGGAATTATTGCAAAAAATTTTAAGCGATTTTTTTATAAACTGATGGCGTTTCGGCAGTACCTTTCCTTATTTAGATATAATTTTCTATTGTTTACCACGTTACATAACACTGGACGATAGCTACTAAGAATTAAATTAAAACTTTATATACCATTTGTTCCAAACTTGCAATTAAACCGTTTATGTTAGTGGGAATACTATACGAATTTACATTAATATACTCTATTGTGGAGGTGGTTGGTATCCGTAGCCTCCGTATTGATTTGGCGGAGGAGGTCCTTGTGGCCCAGGTGGTGGAGGCATGTGACCACCAGGTGGTCGAGGTGGATATTGAGGATATCCCTGTCCTGCTGGTGGTGGTGGATAACTCTGAGGAGGATATTGTGGATGCCCATAATGTTGACCACCTTGAGGTGGGTGAGGAGTGTATACCTGGAAATTTATGTAGCATTCCTCAATGTTATTAAGCTCTTTGAGGTACAGCTAAATAATGCTGAAAACAAGTTAAAAAAGAAGTCTAACAATAATAATACCTGTGGCTGTCCACCTGGTGTCGGCGGCACATATGTCTGTGTAGTAGCTGGTCCATATCCAGGCTGTGGCTGTGGCCCTGGCGGTGGAGCAGGACCCTGTGGAGGTGCTGATGGCGGTTGAAATCCGCTGGGAGCTGGGCTTTGAGATTGCTGTTGTTGAGACTGTGGCGGTGTTTGGGATTGTTGTTGAGACTGCTGCGTCTGATGAGGAGACTGATGCGCGGGAGGTTGATGGGGAGGTTGATGGGATGATTGATGGGAAGGTTGATGTGGTGATTGATGTGGAGCATGAGGAGGTTGATGAGGAGACTGATGCGGTGGTTGATGCGGTGGATGCGATGTTGGATGAGGTGTCTGATGCACAGGATATCCAGACGGAGCAGGAACGGAAGGAGCGTAACTTCCACCCTGAGAAGAAGACGGTGGACCAGTGCTCGGTGGATAAGTTTGAGTCGAAGCAGAGGGTGTACTTGTAGGTTGACTGCTTTGAGCGTAAGTATTGACCCCGCTTGCTGAGGCAGTGCTGAATGGAGGAGACGTAGAAGCTGGCCCGTATTGTGTTGCACCAGGACCAGGACTTGGCTGATTACCGTAATTAGATTGCGGACCTGTATTCTGCTGAGATCCGGGTTGCGGCGGTTGAGCAGCGCTAGATGCGGGAGGAGCTGGATAGTTTTGAGGTGGAACATTGTTTGCATATGCTTGAGAAGAAGGAGGAGGATAGCTTCCAGGTTGCCCGCCTCCGTATGCATTTTGAGGTGGAGCCTGAGATGGAGGTTGCTGGTAATTCGGTTGCGGGCTAGGGCTACCGTATTGTCCGGGTTGCTGTTGTTGACCGCTCGATGGAAAGTTTTGTTGCGAAGGATTAGTAGGCGGATAGCCTTGTTGATTAGGCGGTGGCGGACCGTATCCTGTGGGCGGTTGAGCCGCTCCCGGTGGTGGATATCCACCCGGTTGAGGACCATAACTATTTACAGAACTTGGAGGGCCATAATTTGGTTGCGACGATGCGCTGTAACCTTGTTGTTGAGATGTATTCGGTGGTCCGTATTGGTTTGGTTGTCCTGGAGTGTAAGCTGATCCTTGAGGTCCTTGATAATTGGAACCAGGACTTTGATTAGAGTACTGAGCAGGGTAACCTTGCTGAGAAGGTTGTTGAGGATAACCTTGAGGTCCTCTATACTGCTGTGGTCCGGGTGCGGTAGGTGGTCCTATGAGAATAGAAAGTACTAATATATAATCGAAATATGACATTCATTTACGTGAAAATTTGTAATTGTTAATTTAAAAAATTAAAGATATCAGTTTAAGTATAACATACTATTTATAGCTGGTCCTTGTCCAGGCATGACAGGTCCACGATATCCACCTTGTGGCATTGGCTGCCCTTGATTGAAACTTGACATTGGCAATGTTGGCTGACTGTTTGGAGGCATCTCTCCTACAGGTCCAGCTGATCCTGTAGGAACAGTTGGAAGGCCTTGCGGACTCATCATACCATGTTGAGGGCCATTAGGTATTCCTTGTGGAGGCTTATCATAGAAACAAAAATATTGATACTTTATATGTATTTGATAGGTATGTGTAAAAAATGAAATATTTTTAAAGTATTCCTGAAAATGTTTCTTACCGGTAACAATGCTTGCAAATTTTGGTTTGCATCAGCAATTGATGCCAAGTATACTAAATTACGATGTAACATTTGTTGATATCTGCAAAAAAAAATCCATGTTAAACATAACTATAGCATAATAACAAATGTTTCTTAACTTATACTTACTGTATGCATTCTTGTGCTTTTCCTTTATTCTGAAACTCTTGTATCGTTTGTATGAGTTGACTGTTTTCATCAAGCATCTACACAAATGTATACATTTATATAAATTTTATGATTATACCAGAAATAAATTTATTTGTTAGGGCATGTTACAGCTTTGATTAATAAATCGTTACAGTTAATGTTACAATTTTTTGCATATGTTATTATTTTATTATGGATAAAAAGTTTACGAAAGTACACGTAAAAACAGACAGTAGAACAGAATATTAATAATGACGCGTAATATTCGTTACCTTCTGTATTTGGGCAGGATTCGGTGGCGGCCTACCGCGTTGAGCAAAGGTCACGGACATTTTTTGTAGATACCTTGTATATCGTTAAATATTTGCAGCAAACGTTGTTTCCTTTCGCTTGCGGTCTCTTTTAACGCAATAGGTACGTCGTCTGCCTCGTTCCTAAAATCGTTATACACATTTGAAACTTTAAGACCTCGCCGCAACATCGGTTGTCCACATTGCTGCAGACCGTAGTTTTAACTGGATTTAACATTAAAAAAAAGTACAAACTTAACACGGGTCTTTCGAAGCCGTAAAAACTTACAGGCTCTTTAATCCGGTAGTCCTTCTCCAAGAAAAATTCTAATTATAGCGAATCGCAACTAGCGATTGCTTTACAAAATTTCTAGCTTTACAAATAAGAGATGGTGGCTGTCCATTTCTAAAATAGAAAGCTTGGGAAAAGAGCGTACCGCGTGGCAAATGCAGGAACTATTGTGACAAAATATATATACGACGACACTATGATAAAAAATTAAAACCGTTATTTATTAGCTTACACGAATAACAAATAAAGGCAAATGTTTAACGAAAATATTAGAAGTAATGCATTAAAATAAAAAAAATTTGCAACTATTTTCGTAAAATAATATTTATACTATATTAAAATGTATTCAAATAATATTTATAGTATTTTAAAATGTATTCAATTGGCATTAATGAATAGTTTAGCAATTACAGACTTCTGTGTTTGTCACTAAATAATGCAGCTTTTTATTTTCATTACTGTTCCAAACACAACCCCCATCTTCTTTTCGATAAGTTTCTGATAACACGTAAGACCCTATAGATGGTGTTATTTAAATCTTACATACAATAGGTTATCAAGCCAGCGAACAGATTATTGTTTATTAAATGCTTTGCAAATTATTATTTAATAAACGCTTGCTGCGTTTAAGATTGTACACACCAAGATTCGTTTTAAACCGCGACAAAATTTATTTTTGTAATTCAGTCATAGGTATGTATTTACATATTTAATAAATAATACATTATAAACTGTAAATACTTAAAAACAGAATTCAAGTACAGAATCATTCGACTGCAACAGTAATTCTTATAGTAGCTTCTTTTTACGTGCACTCTCGTTTTTGAAACTATCTGTCATCGTCAAAGTGCCGACAAAACATCTCATTGTTATTAAATTTAATTTACGATTATTTCAATCATTTTTTGACAATGCCAATTTTTTTAAAATTTGTTATTAAAAATTGAGTTAAAAATAGTTACGAGTACATCTTTACAACAGATATACACTTAATAGTCCTTCTACGATCTTATGTTATAAAAAACATAACCTCAAAATGAATTACAGCTTATCGTGAAATACCATTTAAATAAACTAACTACGCAACGTGGGAAAATTTTATTATCGCGTGTTTGAAAATAATACAAAAGGACATTGGACACCAAAATGACTTTAGCAAAGGTAATTTCTAAAAGTAAATAAAATAATGCTTTGATAAATGGTAATATAATATGTATCTTATAATTTTAGATCGAATTTGCAGTGAACATGACTTGTCAGAAATGCGTTGACGCGGTACGTAATAGTTTGACTGGTATAAATGGAATTGAAAATATTGATGTATCATTGGAAAAGGGAAATGTTGTAATAGAAACAAATTTACCAGCCTCTGTTATTCAAGAAAAAATTGAACAGTCTGGGAAAAAAGCTGTTTTGAAAGGATACGGTGGTAAAGATATAGCTGTATTTAAAAGAGACTGTCACATTTATGATCTCAAAAAATCGATTATTTGGATTGCAGATAATTTTAGCGCAGTTGCAATGTTGGGAGGAAATTCAGGATATAGTATAAATAACAAGATAATGGGTGTGATAAGATTCACAGAGACCTCGGATGGATGCATTGTAGATGGTACGGTTGATGGTTTAAATCCAGGGGAACATGGTATTCACATACACGAGTGCGGCGACATTTCGAAAGGTTGCGATAGGTAAATTCAGATGAACTTATCTTCTTTTGTTTTCTGAAATGTTGGACTTCTTATTTCTTTTAAATTCTATGTATAGTGTCGGGGAACATTTTAATCCAAATAATACAGTACACGGTGGACCTGAAGATGATGTACATAAACGGGTAATTATTAAATCTTGTAATGATTTTAATAAAAATATAAACTGGATCATTAATTATTCCTTGAGTGAAAAAGTTGACCATTACTTGTAGCATGTAGGAGATCTTGGGAATATAACAGTAGATAATTCTGGTAGAGCTACATTTAGAAAAATAGACAAACTTGTAAAAATACCTGATATTATTGGAAGATCTCTAGTTATAACAGAAAATCCAGATGATTTGGGAAAAGGAGATAGTCCAGAATCTAAAATAAATGGAAACAGTGGAAATAGGTAAATCTTTCAATATATACATAAGAATAATAGCTTGTAATATTTAAAATTTATTTAATATTTTTGTTTAGATTGTCTTGCGGTATTATCGCTCGTTCCTCTAGTTTGTTCCAAAATACAAAAAAAATTTGTGCTTGCGATGGGCTTACATTGTGGGATGAAAGGGACAAAACAGTTTCAAATAATCAAAAATCTAGTTATGCTGAAGCAAGTAATACTTGTATAGTATCTTAAATCGATTAGTAACTATTCATTATTTTAGAATACAACAGTTACATGCATAGAGTTCATGTATCAATTATTTGTTGCATGCTTTTTACAAATGTATACTATAATTATACAATGTTTGTTTAAAGAAAAGTAGTAACAAATTTTATTTTATTGCATCATTTATACAAAGCATTTATTTAAATAATTAATCCTTACTAATGAAATCTTGCATTTTCTCCTTTTTCAGCAAAACTATAAATAACATCAAGAAAATATACATTGATTTTAATAAAGTAACACATGAATCATTCCGGTAAAGTGTTGTAGATATGTTAAATATTTTACATTATTTAAGAATTTATGTTGAACTTTAATTTAAATAGTTTTACATAAGTTGCTATACTTTTATACAATATTTTTGTATCTGTGTGAAAATAGAGTTGCTATTCTAGTAATCTATTTTTAACCTGATAAGTGGTGTAAAAAATTTATTGATTCCTTGCAAAGAAATTTAAAAAGAGAAAATAAATTGTTTTCAAATGTAATTTATTTATTATAGTGATGTATATTACTTACAAGTATTTGTTTGCTCTCGGTGTAAATACTTATCCAAAATAATACAAACAGTTAAAAAACACAATATATTGATAGAGCCATACTGCAAGATATTGTTCCCTATACATTCATATAAACTTTTTAACTACAAATAAATAATATAATATATAAATAACAATCAGAAAATATTTCACTGATACTTTCATTCAAACCATTTGACTAACTTCGATACACAGTCAGCATTCTATTCTTGTTATCATTTTTAAAACACCTTCTTACTTTTTCCAATTATCAAGACTGGACATCCGGTAGTATTTGCACACAAAAGCGTCGTAACATGATCTTTGCTAATTTTACAGTTTGGAGGTGATCTTTCATGACAAGAAGCTAGAGTCTTTTGTGGTAATGCTGTGCATGACAGACTTGATTCATTGACATTACATACATTTTGTAAGGCGCATCCTTTCTCGATTAAAAATTTATGAAGATCCGCTGTTAAACTTTCTGCAGCAACATTACTAGTTGAAAGTTTTTCTCCCAACACATTCAGTTCGCGAATACCATGACGCGATTTAAACTTTTCTAACCAACCACTACTTGCTTTAAAGTTTGGGTTTCCCTCCAGCTTTTTATTGAATTCCAATGCCTTCTCGCATAAGATAGGTCCAGATATCGGCACACCTTTATCTCTATTTTGCAGAAACCATTGAAACACAGCGTCGTCTACGTTTTTATTCTTGGGCACCATTAAGCTTTTTCTACTGGTAGAAGCGTCCAACGAATCTGCTTGTAACAGATAATTTTCAATGGCACATTTTTGATTTTTAATACCAGTAATTGTAGCCTTTCCGATACCATATGTTTTTGCTAATTTTGCGGCACTCTCGCCGTTTTCTAACTTTTGAATTATCTCGTGTTTTGTTTTTATACTCAACACTACACGTTTCCGCTTCGACGCCATTATCGTTCAAGTGGCAGGTCGAGCACTAGGAGGAACTAGTCTTTTCGATTCATATGATAATATATCTAACATTAATTCCGAATATATCACAATGTATTCTGTATCTTATACACTTTTGTTTCGTCAACTTTTAACTCTTATTTTTCGTTCTTCTTCACTGATTCTTCTGCTCTAACTTTCCTGACGAACTACCGAGATGTCATGCATTTGTACTACGCAAGTTTCTTCGTACATAAAAGTCTATATACGTATGCATAGAATCTGTTTAGAGATAGATTTTATTTGAAAACAAACCCTATCCTAATTATTAGATTTTACGCATCATTTCGAGAATTTATACACATGATGCCAGCCGGGACGCGTTTTTTCGCGCACACGCTGCGAACATAGCATCTGGTTTGAGCGTTGCGAGCGATAAATGGAACATGGAATGCACCCTTCGTTATAAACTTACGTAGATGTTTTATCGCCGAGGGTACTATCGTGTAAATTGGAAAATTCTAAAATGGGTATTCCAGGTTTAACAACTTTCATAAACAATCGCTCGTATCGTTATCTGAAATATTTTGAGTTACGTGATACGTATTTAGTAATCGACGGGAGCAGCGTTGCTTGTCAAATATATATTTTGTACGCAAAGTGTAATTGTGCCTTCGGTGGTGATTACGATGAATATGCCAAATCCATTTCAGATTTCTTCGACGACTTGTTGAAGTGCAATGTAACGCCGATAGTTTTGATCGATGGCGGCAGCGAGCAGAAGAAAATGAAAACAATTATAACCAGAACCAAAGAAAAAATTCGCACAGCGTCATCTTTTTCTCCTATCAGTCAACAGAGAATGAAATTTCTTCCTTTACACACTCTGGAAGTTTTCAAAGATGTTCTGAGAGAGAAAAATATTCGATTTGTGCAATGTTTATTCGAAGCTGATAACGCTATAGCTGCTATGGCAAAGTTATTGAATTGTCCTGTATTGAGTTACGATTCAGACTTTTATGTGTATGGAACATTGTACATACCATTCGATACATTAGACAGTTATATTATCAAAAGTTCAACTGGAAATGGATACATGAAGCGTTGCAAAATTTATAAAGTCGAATATTTGCTAAGTTCTTTTAAGGGTTTAAACCAATCTGTGTTGCCATTAGCTGCTGTATTATTAGGCAATGATTATGTAAAACGTGGTACATTCAAGAACTTTTTCCGTTACCTGACATTACGACAAGTAGCAAGAAAAAAATATAGCCATCGGCAATATTGTATAGAAGCAACTTTCAATTGGTTGAGCGGATACACATTAGAGAAAGCTGTCATTGGAATTCTATGCAGATTACCTAAACCTATGAGACAAAGAGTATTAAACATAATAGAAATCAATATAAATAGTTATACTAACGCATCTACAGAATTTCTTGTTCCATTGGGTTTCCCAAAGGAATACGCTGCTCGTGTAGCTATGCATTCCATAAACAGAACTTTTAAATTTGACGGAGATGTTAACAGTTTAACGTACATAGAAGAAACTCATAAAGGAGAAGGCATTGAAACAAGCCAAGAAGAAGAAGAAGAAGAAGAAGAAAACGAAGTTGAAATATTAGATGCGTTCAAAGAGTCCGAGTTTACTTCTGATAATGCGCTCCCTAACAATTTACCTGTATGGTTTGTAGACAAGTTTCTTATGGGCAAATATTCTTGCTATATCATAAATTTATTCATTCGACGTTTATGGATTGGCCCTGTACAAATAGAGAACTACTATTATCCATCCAGCAATATAATAAGTTTAAAAATTATTAGCGTTATATTTGCACTTCTGAAATCAGAAATGGTTGGGAAGGGAGGTCCTATGAAATATATGATTAGAGGTCATAATATGAAACTTGTACATTACGAATTGGAAGCTACTAATACTATATTTTCTTGTCAATTTCCACCTCTATCTAATATTGGAGTTATACCATTATTCATTCGAAAAAAAATTTTAAATAATACGTTAGAGATTGCGAACGAACAATGTATAGATGAGTTACTACCAGAATGGATGTTATATGTTGCTTGCATTAATTATTGGATAAAACAACACGAATCAGACGTATCGTATAAATGTTATGTCTATTCTATACTCGTCAGTTTATTGTTCAATATAATTGACTTAAAGATTGGAAGGCATAGAATAATGCAAAATTTTAAAAAAAAACACGGTGCATTAATCGAAAGTATAAAAGAAAAAAGAAAAACGAGTAATTATAAACCACATTATACAACGAACGTTACCATTCTTGAAGCCTGTAATGAAATTAATCCTGATGATTGTTTAATAGCAGCACCATTTTTTATTTCTCATTTTGAGATGGATCAGAAATTGTATTCAAATCCAAAGAAATTTAATAGATCCATTGTTCATGCTTTTGCAGAATTTCAGATTTGTATGAGACACAGTATGTCTTTGAACGCACTTTTAGAGTATCCTTATCCAGAAATTAAGATCGCTAATTTATTCAATGGTACTCTATTGTACAATTTGTCAAATAATTTTAAAACACGTTACGACATTGAAGGATACATAAACGGTGTTCTTCAGAATTCTCCAAGTCTTTGGAGGGTGTTTCATATACTTTTGTTAAAAGTAAAATCTTTATTTGAATTGTTGCTTCAAAATGGAATCAATCCTCAAAAAAAATCAAGAACAAAGTGCAGAAAAACAAAGTCTGAACGAAATGCACAGGATAGCGATGCAGAATATTTGAGCGCGAACGAAAGTTCCTGCGAACCAAAATTTTACGACGCGAACAATCCTTTTTCATTTCTTGATTCTGCACAATAATTGAATGTACTTTACGCAATTTACGAAACAAAAAATTGAAACTTACTCACGTGTTTGAGTGTATGTATGTAATATATAAAATTGTAATTGAAGGACAAGTATAAAATGATAATAAATTTATGGTATATAAAGATATGGCCTCTTATTTAAGTATACCACTTAGAAAAATGTTTGTGATCATTTATCACAGCTCCATTCTGTTTATTCAATTATATTTTTTTAAATTTCTTTTGTAAGTAGATTTCTTTTTATTTCGATTTCTGTTCTTTGAAATAGAAGATGTATTGCTCTGGAAATATAATGAAAGGTAAGAAGTATAAAGAAAGCATAAAGAGTAATTTATAATGAAATCTTTGGTTACGTTTATGTACGTTTCCCAGAATGCAGTAAATGCTGTTTTAAGACTGTTTGCTTCCTGTCGCAAAGTCGGTAGATAATATGCATCTTCTCCATGTTTAATTATTAACCCAATACGTACAGCACACTCTAACTTTTCATTTAATTCCTCTTTAAACGATTTCGTATTACCATTGACTGGGTAATTATGTCGTAAATATTCACCAATGAGATTTGAATTGACATAAACTCTACGTAATTGCAATCTCTTTATTGCTATGCGAATCATCTGTGGTGTTATTGGAATATAACCCCTAGCTGATAGATTTTGAAATAACGTTATGTTACAATAAAATGATTATTTACATAATTTACAATATGTTCAATTGTACACATCTAGGTGAAATGTATGTTATAGATGTATTAAGATTTAAAATCGATGTATGAAATCATTTTACGTATAATTGAGGTAATATAAGATAATATATTTTGAGAACAAAATATTGCTTTTTTTTTACTTCTGAATACGTAAATATACAGGATAACCTTACAATAAATTTATAATATGCATCTTACATGATGTATGCGAGATATCATTTTCTATATCTGTATATCTTATGTTACGAGAATCATGGTTGCTGTCTCGAAAACATTGTCGGTCCGAGCACATTTTTGTTTCTTACTGAATTTAGAAATCGTCGAATGGGTACTAAAATTTCTAAGTAAATAAAACTCAGTTTTATTGTTTTTGTAACCACAAGACCTTTAACTTTGAATGAGAAATACCAAATGTTTCCGAAAAAAACAAAAAACAAAAAAATAACAGTAAGTAATTCGAAATTACTTTTAGACGTTATTTATTTGTCATAGCATTATATATTACTTACAATATTTATCTGCTCTTAGTGTAAACAATTAACCGAAACAATGCAAACATTTAAAAAGATATACATATATATGCATTAATAGAGCTACAATGTAATATATTCTTAAGAATCACTTATATATATAATCCCTTTAATCATATAAAATACGTATATTTAAAATTTATAACATATTTCAATAACTATCTATTTCCTGACATCTTACATCTGACTTTGATAATTTTTATTAATAACAAATCTTTAATCGTGTCAGTAAACCATAACCAACAAACAAATATCGAGAAGTAATTATTAAAAAACATAAAATTTTGATAAATCTCCAAATGCTCGTACTATTTTACCCGTAATGTAGAAAGATACGACTTAAATAAATTACAATACAAATACATCAGGTACTCTACGAAAAATATTTTAGTTTGTGATAAACATTACAAAAAATAATCTATTTCACAATAGATAGCACCACATGTGAAATGTGATAAGAGTTAACAATACACTTGTCTGCATTGTTAATAACTCTTTTAAACTCTTTTAATTCTGATTTTAATAATAATAATTTCTAATAATTGTAATTAGGTACAGTGAAAGAAGGTTAAATAGTAAGAATCATATAAACCAAAAGCTATTATAAATATTTGTGCAACATATCGTAAATATTAATTCAGAAGACGATTTAGGTAATTTGAACTAACTTTGAGAAATTCGATAATTACAATTGTAAAAAGCTATATAATAAAATTTATTAGACTATAATTTATATGGTAATATCAAAGAACTTGTATTTTCATGCTCATTACTGTTTAAAGTGGTTAAAACATTTATAGGAAAGTTCATAGCTAATTGCAGTGTTCTAAGAAGCACAAAATATATGTTTTAATGTGATAATAGAAGATTGAATTTTTTACAAATAAAGATTCCAACATAAATAGAATGGTTTATTATCATCTGATGCAT